TGACAGCAAGTCTCCTCAATACTCAGCACTCTTCTTAGTATTCTAGCTGTTTTCAATAATGCCATCATCTGGATGGTTCCAACTCATTGAATGTTCCCACCATTAGTAATTGATGCCTTTCACTGGAGATTAAGTGACAGCAAGTCTCCTCAATACTCCAGCACTCTTCTTAGTATTCTAGCTGTTTTCAATAATGCCATCATCTGGATGGTTCCAACTCATTGAATGTTCCCCACCATTAGTAATTCAATACTGCCTCTTCTTAGTATGGCTGTTTTAAGCATCATCTGGATGGTTCCAACACCATTAGTAAAGCCTTTCACTGGAGATTAAGTCTCCTCAATACTGGCATTCTTCTTTGCATTCTAGATTCTAGCTTTTCAATAATGCCATCATCTGGATGGTTCCAACTCATTGAATATTTCCCACCATTAGTAATTGGTGCCTTTCACTGGAGATTAAGTGACAGCAAGTCTCCTCAATACTCCAGCACTCTTCTTAGTATTCTAGCTGTTTTTCAATAATGCCATCATCTGGATGGTTCCAACTCATTGAATGTTCCCACCATTAGTAATTGGTGCCTTTCACTGGAGATTAAGTGACCAAGTCTCCTCAATTAGCACTCTTCTTAGTATTCTAGCTGTTTTCAATAATGCCATCATCTGGATGGTTCCAACTCATTGAATGTTCCCACCATTAGTAATTGTGCCTTACATTTGGAGATTAAGTGACAGCAAGTCTCCTCAATACTCCAGCACTCTTCTTAGTATTCTAGCTGTTTTCAATAATGCCATCATCTGGATGGTTCCAACTCATTGAATGTTTCCACAATTAGTAATTGGTGCCTTACACTGGAGATTAAGTGACAGCAAGTCTCCTCAATACTCCAGCACTCTTCTTTAGTATTCTAGCTGTTTTCAATAATGCCATCATCTGGATGGTTCCAACTCATTGAATATTTCCCACCATTAGTAATTGGTGCCTTTCACTGGAGATTAAGTGACAGCAAGTCTCCTCAATACTCCGGCACTCTTCTTAGTATTCTAGCTGTTTTCAATAATGCCATCATCTGGATGGTTCCAACTCATTGAATGTTCCACCATTAGTAATTGATGCCTTTCACTGGAGATTAAGTGACAGCAAGTCTCCTCAATACTCCAGCACTCTTCTTTGTATTCTAGCTGTTTTCAATAATGCCATCATCTGGATGGTTCCAACTCATTGAATGTTTCCACCATTAGTAATTGGTGCCTTACATTGAGATTAAGTGACAGCAAGTCTCCTCAATACTCCAGCACTCTTCTTTGTATTCTAGCTGTTTTCAATAATGCTATCATCTGGATGGTTCCAACTCATTGAATATTTCCCACCATTAGTAATTGGTGCCTTTCACTGGAGATTAAGTGACAGCAAGTCTCCTCAATACTCCAACACTCTTCTTAGTATTCTAGCTGTTTTCAATAATGCTATCATCTGGATGGTTCCAACTCATTGAATGTTTCCACCATTAGTAATTGATGCCTTTCTTTGGAGATTAAGTGACAGCAAGTCTCATTAGTAATTGGTGCCTTCAATAAGTGACAGCAAGTCTCCTCAATACTCCAGCACTCTTCTTTGTATTCTAGCTGTTTTTCAATAATGCCATCATCTGGATGGTTCCAACTCATTGAATGTTTCCACCATTAGTAATTGGTGCCTTTACACTGGAGATTAAGTGACAGCAAGTCTCCTCAATACTCCGGCACTCTTCTTTGCATTCTAGATGTTTTCAATAATGCTATCATCTGGATGGTTCCAACTCATTGAATGTTCCCACCATTAGTAATTGGTGCCTTTCACTGGAGATTAAGTGACAGCAAGTCTCCTCAATACTCCAGCACTCTTCTTTGCATTCTAGCTGTTTTCAATAATGCCATCATCTGGATGGTTCCAACACATTGAATGTTCCACCATTAGTAATTGGATGCCTTTCACTGGAGATTAAGTGACAGCAAGTCTCCTCAATACTCCAGCACTCTTCTTAGTATTCTAGCTGTTTTCAATAATGCCATCATCTGGATGGTTCCAACTCATTGAATGTTCCCACCATTAGTAATTGTGGTGCCTTTCACTGGAGATTAAGTGACAGCAAGTCTCCTCAATACTCCAGCACTCTTCTTTAGTATTCTAGATGTTTTCAATAATGCCATCATCTGGATGGTTCCAACTCATTGAATGTTTCCACCATTAGTAATTGGTGCCTTTCACTGGAGATTAAGTGACAGCAAGTCTCCTCAATACTCCAGCACTCTTCTTTGTATTCTAGCTGTTTTCAATAATGCCATCATCTGGATGGTTCCAACTCATTGAATGTTCCCACCATTAGTAATTGGTGCCTTTCACTGGAGATTAAGTGACAGCAAGTCTCCTCAATACTCCAGCACTCTTCTTTCTTTGCTGTTTTTCTAAGCCATGTTTTTTCCAACTCAATTCCATCATCTGGATGGTTCCAAACTCCAGCACTCTTCTTGAATGTTTGCCATCATCTGGATGGTTCCAACTCATTGAATGTTCCTACCATTGATTGCCTTTCACTGGAGATTAAGTGACAGCAAGTCTCCTCAATACTCCAGCACTCTTCTTAGTATTCTAGATGTTTTCAATAATGCCATCATCTGGATGGTTTCCAACTTACATTGAATGTTTCCAATACTCCAGCATTAGTAATTGGTTTTGCCTTTCACTGGAGATTAAGTGACAGCAGTGGTGCCCTCAATACACCAAGTCTCCTCAGCACTCTTCTTTGTATTCTAGATGTTTTCAATAATGCCATCATCTGGATGGTTCCAACTCATTGAATGTTTCCACCATTAGTAATTGGTGCCTTTCACTTGTATTCTAGCTGATTATCAGTGACAGAATGTTCCCACCAAGTCTCCTCAATACTCCTCAATACTCAGCACTCTTCTTTGCATTCTAGATGTTTTCAATAATGCTATCATCTGGATGGTTCCAACTCATTGAATGTTCCCACCATTAGTAATTGGTGCCTTTCACTGGAGATTAAGTGACAGCAAGTCTCCTCAATACACCAGCACTCTTCTTTGCATTCTAGATGTTTTCAATAATGCCATCATCTGGATGGTTCCAAACTCACACTCTTCTTGAATGTTTCAATAACCATTGGATGGTTCCAACAATTGATGCCTTTCACTGGAGATTAAGTGACAGCAAGTCTCCTCAATACTCCGGCACTCTTCTTTGCATTCTAGATGTTTTCAATAATGCCATCATCTGGATGGTTCCAACACATTGAATGTTTCCACCATTAGTAATTGATGCCTTTCACTGGAGATTAAGTGACAGCAAGTCTCCTCAATACTCCAGCACTCTTCTTTGCATTCTAGATGTTTTCAATAATGCCATCATCTGGATGGTTCCAACTCATTGAATATTTCTCACCATTAGTAATTGGTGCCTTTCACTGGAGATTAAGTGACAGCAAGTCTCCTCAATACTCCAGCACTCTTCTTAGTATTCTAGATGTTTTCAATAATGCCATCATCTGGATGGTTTCCATTGAAACCATTGAATGTTTCACTGGAGATTAAGTGACCAATTCCTCAATTGATGCCTTTCATTCTAGCTGTTTTCAATTATCATCTGGTGACATTGAATGTTTCCTCAATACTACACTTGGAGATTAAGTGACAGCTCTTCTCCAGCATTCTAGATGTTTTCAATAATGCTATCATCTGGATGGTTCCAACACATTGAATGTTTCCACCATTAGTAATTGATGCCTTTCACTGGAGATTAAGTGACAGCAAGTCTCCTCAATACTCCGGCACTCTTCTTTGCATTCTAGATGTTTTCAATAATGCTATCATCTGGATGGTTCCAACTCATTTGAATATTTCCTAACCATTAATAATTGGTGCATTAATAATTTCTTACACTGGAGATGATGAAGTGACAGCTTAGTAAGCTGTTTCTCCTCATGGTTACTGAATGTTCTCACCTCTTCTTTGCATTCAATTCCTTTCACTCTTCTTTGTGCTGTTTTCAATAATGCCATCATCTGGATGGTTCCAACTCATTGAATATTCATAACAGTATCCCAGAGATTAAGTGACAGCACATCCTGTCTTCCACATTTGGAATGAGGAAGACAGGATGCAACAATACCAATTACTACTACTACTACTAGTTTTTGCCAAATTTTATTTTCATCCAAATTGGACAGGTAATATACGCATAAACTTCTAGAGATTCTTCTCGCAGGTAATGCCTCTCAATTACACCAAACGGAGGTAGAATCAACATGCATATTTTTACGCCTGTGGCATTATTGGTAGAGAACAAATGTTTTTGGTGCCCCATGATTCAAAAAAGTGGAGAGTCTTTCTTTTATCTCATTTAAACAAATATAACTACTCAAATTCCGTACCAAAAATATATATTTTCCATGAAATGTTTTAAATTAAAATTCTTTCCATGTATTTTTAACTTTAAAAAGGATTTTATAAGCGGTACATTTGAACGTTTTTGTTTTAACTTTTAATCCTGTAGTGTGTAATGTGAAATTAACTCGTTTATTTAATGTTATTTTTTTTTTCATCATGCATCGAGACTTCTAGAAACCATAAAAGAAATCTCGTGTTATTTTAATTACTTTTTTGTTCGTCATTAAATAATAATAATAATAATAATAATAATAATAATAATAAAAATCCTACTAAGAAGAATGTATGATAGTCAGGATAATTTTGGTTTGGCACACTACGGTTGGACTGAGAAGTGTTGATTGTAAAGATTCTATATAGCAGTAGTAAACAGAATGAATTGTCTGCACGTTATACGACACACACAAGCCGAAACGTGTAATGTTGCGATCACCATCATCGTATTCATCATCATCATCATCATCATCATCATCTGCTAGACAGTATCTGGAAACGTTATTTTTTTTTAAATATAATTTATTTTAATTTAAATACAATTCATATTAAATCTTTAGTTTATAAGATGAAAGGCGATACATATTTTTTTACACTCAGAGTGAGCGCACGTGACAGCACGTGTCTTTTTAAGAAGTGCATCGAAGCCAAGGAAGTGTGCAACAGTGAAGCAAAAGAGAGAATCGGAAGAAAGAAAGGGAGAAAGCAAATAATAAATAATCGAAACACACAGAGACAGGAGTGGGATACATAGATAGATAGATAGATAGATAGATAGATAGATAGATAATAAACAGACTGAGACAGATAGATATAAACAGACTGAGAGATAGATAGATAGATAGATAGATAGATAGATAGATAGATGAACAGAGATAGATGAACAAAAGATAGATAGGAACAGATATTAAAAAGATATGAACAAATAGATAGATAGGTGATAGATAGATAGATAAATAGATGGGATAGATAGATAGATAGGAATAGATAGATAGATAGATAGATAGATAGATAGATAGATAGATAGATAGATAGATAGATAGATAGGAATAGTTTGAGATAGATAGATAGATAGATAGATAGATAGATAGATAGATAGATAGATAGATAGATAGATAGATAGGAATAGTTTGAGATAGATAGATAGATAGATAGATAGATAGATAGATAGATAGATAGATAGGAATAGTTTGAGATAGATTGAGATAGATAGATAGATAGATAGATAGATGATGAATGGAATAGTTTGAGATAGATAGATAGATAGATAGATAGATAGATGAAGATAGATGAAAAATAGATGGAGGAAAATTGAAAAATGAGTGGAATGACTAAAGAGAGAAGAGAGAGGGAGAGTGGAGGACGAGGAGAGATAGAAGCGTGGAGAGAGAGATAGAAGAGACTGAAAAGTGAAAAAGTGAGGGATTGAAAAAGAATAGAGGGGGAAGGGGGAGGCGGGGTAGATAGACAGAAGAGAGTGAAAAAAATTGAAAAAGAACGAAAAGAGAGGTGAGAAAGAAGAGAGTGAAAACTGAAAAAAAATGTGACGGATTGAAAAAGAATGTAAGAAGAGAGAGATAGAGAGAGTGAGATAGAGAGAGAGAGAGAAAGAGAGAGAGAGAGAGAAATATGAATATATTCAATTCATCATGACTATTTCCTTACGCTTGACATAAAAGTGGACGTGACACATACATACATTCTTTGAATAATTCTAAATTTTTAGGTCCTGTTTTGCAGTTTTGAGCCGATAAGTTTCTGGATAACTAAATCCAGGCTTTGGTAAAATTTCCGTACGTTTCTCAACTTACCGAATATTCCATTTCGACATTGTTCAACTTTAAGTAGTATAGAATTCCTATAGATCTCTTTCACAATGTTACCACTTACCAGTATTATAAGTACATACAGAACTTGCATTGCCAACAAAATTTAATTTATTGTTTGTGTAGTATTATGGCTACTACTGCTGATACATACACATATATATGCTACTCTACTCATGTTTAATAAAAAAAAAATCATATATATACAAAGAAAAAAAAAATAAAAGAAAGGAGACAGATTCAACATACATTTTACATTTGGATCGTGAAACTAAAAAGGAATAACAATATTTCATGTCTTTAATTTAAAATAAGTAAATTTGTGGAAGTATTTCATTTCGTTTACTACATATCACTTATTCAATTGTGTCCATAAGAAAACTGACTACAGAAATAAAGAAACAAAACTCTGGTCATCTTTTTAAGTGTTTCTATATCTGATATCATCATCACCATTGTCATCATCAAGATCACAATTATCATCAATCGTAATTATTAAAGCGATTTTCATCGTATTTCTTCTCATCTATAGACTTGTTATCACTCCTCTTTTATCTTTTCATCTCTCTCGTCATTATTATCATATCTCTTGGTAGATAGTTTCGCCACTGCCACTTTCTTTACTAATCCAAAATTATCACCATAACCAAAGTAAAAAGCTATCTTAACTCTCACTCACTCACCCAGTCGCATCATTCAACTACTCAGCTACTCACTCACTCTTTTCTTTTCTTAACACTCCCACCGAACCCCTAGTTTTAAAATGCTTCTCTCTCTCTCTCTCTCTCTCTCTCTCTCTCTCTCTTTAAATATTATTCTTCAAGCCTGCGTTTAAGATTGTTACCTCTTCTTTCCAACTGACCTACTCACTATATATTTCTGTTCCTCTCCACATAATCATAAGTTCGTTTCAAACGTACGCACAAACCTCCCGATCCATGGAACATTACAGTTTTCGTTTAGTTTTCCCTAGTTTCGCCTGATTCTTGTAGAATATGTTACAGACCTTCTTCTGTAAGAGACTAAGACACAATGATACACATACGTACTGACAGATTTGCGAAGGCATGCACTCGCGCACTTGAAGCCAGTCTTCCAATTTAGAACCCACTTTGGATACCATCACTTGTTTTAAAACCTTAACCGCAACAGATAGTATAAAAAAAGGATAAAATAATATATATATATAAAGAAAGAAAGAAAGAAAGAAAGAAAGCAAGGAAGAAAGAAAGAAAGAAAGCAAGGAAGAAGAAGAAAGACAGAAGGGAACCCGGTGACACTAAATAAAAAGAGGATTTGAATAAAAGAAAGGACCAGCGGTGACTAAAATTTATTTCGTGGTGGTGAGACTGTCAAAATGTTTATTTCGAAATGACACTTAAGTGAAAGTCGATTTCTTCTTAAAGATATCCACTAACTACTTTCACTTTCATTTTCTGTTTTGATTTTGTTTCGTTTTTTTTCTTTCTTTTTCTTCTTCTGTATATTATCTTAATTCTCTCATTCATGTAAACACACACATGAAGTCACTTGTAAGATACTCGCGTGTGCATCACAAACCAATTCTTCTGGTGTAGACATCTCTTTACACTCCTGAAATTACCTGTAAATCACACAAAAACTGTATTCTTAGAATTTCATTGTTGTTGTTACCGTCGTTGTTGTTGCTGCAGTTTTTTTTATTGCCCCCCACCACTTTCGTACTGATATTGAAGGTAGTTTAAATGCAACAGTACAAAAACATTACTTCTATTTGGCTGTCAGCTCATTTATTTGTTATGTTATCAGCAAGAACTGTAACTACAGTTGTGAATTCATAATAGAGAAAATTAAATTTAAAAAGAGGTTTATTGCTGTTTTTATTCTGGAAGTTTCCGGGGGGGTGAGAAAAGAATGGATCGAATAAGAAGCAGTTTGTAGGATTCAGGGGGGTGGTTTTTTTTTTTTTTTTTTTTTATTTATTTATAGCTGTTTATTTTATTTCTTTTATTTTAAAATAATTTTTAGCATATTTAATATTTTAATTTAAAATCCTGCATATTTATATTTGGCTTAGTATATTAAATTAGTAAATTGCTTTTAAAATTCTGTTATTTTTGCTTTTCTGTATAGTTATTTTAACTAATTTTAGTTAAAGAAAACTATGAAAAACAGAATTACTAATATTATGGAAATTAAGAGATAATAGTTGTTTAAAAATATTTTTAAGTAAATAGGTCATGGAAAATACCTTTCCACTGTTATACCTAGTCAAGTACAATTTCCTAGTCTTTCTTTTTTTCTTCGACTTTTCTCATTATCCTTCTTTTTGCACATTTTGACCATTATTGCATTTTTATAAATCTTTTTGATTTTATTACTAAATTAAATTTGTCATATGCTTGATTATCTTTTATTTTTTCTTTCGTTCTCTTTCTATTGACAAAGCTTTTTCAATTAAGTAAATTTTTTTCTTCAAAGAATTTTATTTGCAACTGTGTCATTAGAATTTAATTTATTAATTTAAAATTGTATAAAATTTATTTCATAATTAGAAATTAGCCATTATTTACTAGCAAATTTACTGGTTAAATTAATTCATTAGTAAAAACATAAAATATTAATGAAAATAACTATTCATCCTAACTAAGGCTTTACTTAAGAATAATAATAATAACAAACTTTATTTAATTTAATAGTATTTATTTAATTCTATATTTATTGTTTATTTTTTAAATTTTAATCTATATCCATTTGATTTATTTCACCTTTATTTTTGGCGATACATACAATGATTATTGTTTTTTTCTTTACAACAGATCGATATTATTAATCAATTGGAGTGTAACGTAAATCAATCACAATTTTTAAAAGAAAGAAAAAGAATTGAAAAAGAAAATAGTAGTAACATTATTAACCTTTAAAAGATTTGTTAAATGAAGGTAATACTTTAATCAATTATTGTTTTTTTACCTACATAAAAAAATATATATATCGAATAGGGCGCTAACGTACCGATTCAGTGTATATTCTAAAGTCTCATGACAAAAAGGATTTTAATCGCCAAATATAAAACGAAAAGAAAAAGGAAAAAGAAAAAAATACGAAAGAATAGCAGAAAAAAAAAGAAATTATACTAAAAAAAATCTCTCGTTATATAAATTAATAATTTCATATGACAATATTTTTGTCATTTTTGTCATTTTGATTGTTAAATTCAAGATCATCATCAAAAATATAAAACTAGTATTAAATTAAAATACAGTAATACTTAAAAATAAAACTAAGTCACTCTCTTCTTACTCCTTTGACAGAAGTAGTTCTTGTTTGTTTTGTTTTTTAATTGTTTTTACTTTATAGCCGTAATTATCTCTAGTCTAAAAATGGATTATTTTTCTTCTTCTTTGACTCGACAATAATTTATTTGATTACTATCTTAAAATCTTATTGATTTATGCCTTCTAAAAGTTCTGTATGTTTTGTTTTACCATTTCAACTGGTCCAAAAGAAAAAAAAATAATGTCGACAGTGACAGGAATATCATGTTAAGAATAGTGACCGAAATTGATTTTAAAAAGTAAAACTAATTGATTACATATTTTTTTACATCTACTTTTTTTCTTTAGAAAACTCTTGTTCCTTTTAAAACAACATTATTATTTATTTATTATCTATGCATTTTTGAATAGACATCAAAGTAAACATTATTTTTTGTTTAGAATTTTTTTCGTTTTAAGAAATTTTGATAATTTAATGAAAAATCACACAAATAGATAGATAGATAGACAAAGAGAGTGATTTGATTTTTAACGGAAACTAAATAATTATTTTTAAATTAACACACTAAAAAACAAAATTTCACTTTTTTTTCCCCTAAACCATAGGAGGTTCACATCCTTAGAATTTCAGAAAAAAATTATTATTTCTGTGACTAGATTTGGTGAAATTCAAAAAAAGAAGCTCAAGTGAGAAAAAAATAATTTAAAACATGACTTACACCAATTAAAAAAGCAGTTTGACATTTTTTTAAAGACAAATTTAGAATTTTATTTTTTTAGATGTTTAAAATTCTTTTTCTCCTTATTTTTCCGCTGTGAAAAATAGTATTTTTCATTAAGCATCTAATTTTCAAAGCAAGTACTGTTAAAAAAATTGCATTTTAAGACATTTTTACCAAAAAACAAAAATAAAAAAAATAAATACTCTAAAAACTTAAAAAGGTACTTGTATATTATATATATCTATGTATATGTATATTAAAATTATTTAAAAAAATGAATTTTCGATCCGGCAATAAATACTAAAGGAGAAATATAAATATATTTAAATAAAAAATATATATATTTGAGTAAATAAATTAAATACCGTTTTACATACGCTTAAAAAGCGATTGTTAAGTTTGTCAACAATTTCGAACCAACTGATGTACAAAAAACCTGAATGAATGGAAAATCTTTGATTATTAGTTGTAAAAGCCAATAACGACAGGTGTCTTAACTTTTATAAAACTCATACATAACGTAACTACATACACACGCTCATATACAATACAACACGTACTACTTACAGACAAAAGCGTATATAATTTATATATGTAATTACTTATATAAATGTATATACTTATATAATAAACATTTATTGCCCCGATTTCCAACCTTCTGTAACTTTTGTCTCTTTTCCCATGAATATTATTTTTATATTTTTTTACATGCAGACCTTTTCATTTTAAGAAGTAAATTTACATACGGGTGTGTGTTCCTTTTTAAAAGTTTGATCTTAAGAACTAATTCAAGAAAAGGCGTAAAAAGAAAAGAAAAGAAAAGAAAAGAAAAGAAAGAAAGAAAGAAAGAAGGCAAGAAGGAAACAAAGAAAGAAGATTTATTTGTTTTGATTATTTTTTTCTTTATTTTTCAAATTATGAACAAAAATATTCTCTACACAAGCAGAACTTGAAACAGTTTAGTCAAATTTATAAAGAATACAAGAAAAGAACTGTAAAAAATTTTGCAAAAATGTTTTAAAAAAGGAAAAAAAAGTATAAAGGAAAAGAAAAAGAAATTTTTAAATGAATATAGGGAAAAGAAGGAAGTAATTAATTAAAAAAAAATGTAGACTAAAATCGAAAAGAAAGAAGAGAATAAAAAAGAAAGAAAGAAAGAGATACAAAAGGAAAGCAGAAAGAGAAAAAAGACAAGAAAGTAAAGTAAAAAAGAAAGGAATAGAAGGAACGAAGGAAAAAAAAAAAAAAGATACCAGAAAGGAAAGAAGGAAGGAAAGAAGGAAGGAAAGAAGGAAGGAAAGAAGGCGATAAAACCAACCAAAGAAAAAGAAAGGACTAGAAAGTAAGGAAGAAAGAAATGGCTAAGAATACAAAAAAACTAAAAAAAAATCTTGAATAAGATGGAATTGTTCAAAGAGCCGAAAAGCCATGGGGGTAAGGATTATCACCCTGTGTAGATGCATATAAACTCGTTATGGACACTCCCTTTTTTGTGAAACAGAAAATAAAATGTACACTTCAACGGTTTACGTGAGGTATGTATGACACTCTTTTTTTGTAATATAAAATATCTTTTTGGAACCATGTACCATTGTTGTATTTTGTACTTTTCAAAAATTGTAAACAACCACACCCTCCCTGCCATCACTGGTATCATCATTAACAATAATAAGTTCCTTGGAACTTCGAAGACACATGTCATCTTTCCAATTTGGAATGACACAAATTATAGTAATGTCTGTTTAACAACTCGAATGCATATGAAACCTGATTAACCAATGAAAATCAAACAATGCAAAAGTAAAAAATGCCAAAATTTCTTTTTTCTTTTTCTCTATATTTCATTCTCTGATGAAGCTTTAATAAAAGTGAAACATGTTAGATTGATAAACGTTTGCTATTTGTTTTTTATTTTATGAATAATAAATATAACAATCTGAAGATGATCTCACAGAACTAAGTAGAAAGTAAGTTCTCATGAGGTTCCTCAACTTTGTGTTAAAGCTAATTGATACTTAATAAACACAATAACTATCAATTTTCACTATATCCATGAAAGGTGAGTATCTGTTGAAAACAAACTTATCATACAGACCATTTCTTTATGTTGTGAATTTGATTGTATACTCAAAAGGTTTTTATCACTAATCATAGTAAAACTCAAATGTGCAGCTATAATTCATTATCTGTCATCTTTACATTGTACTCCTTAATACAAAAGTTATTAGTGACATTGTCACTATTGTCACCAACTGCTAGAAAACAATGGAACACTCAAATTCTCTAAATTGCTGCTGATTGGTTTTCTGAGCAAGACACAGATAACTGATCAGTTAACAAAACAGAAAATGGAGTGAGCAATCTGATATGTCCCGGAAAGGGATATATTTGTTCGAAGTAGCAAAGTGGTTGTTGAATACTGTAACCGAGTAGGACAATCTAGCAGGTAACCGTAATGGACTAGTCCTTGTCGTAGTGGTAGGCAATAGGCAAAGACTATAGGCGTCAACCCTGTACCTCCACATCAGTCTGTATTTATGGCTGACACCAGCCAATCATATTACTGTCAGGGGGAACCCAGGTGTATGCATATTCATTACAT